CTGGCGAGTCCTTGGTGCTAATGTATATCGTACCGTGCCGTCCGGCAGTCCCTCATTGCCATTTATAATGTTATTATTCGCGTTCTCTTTACAACCCAGTCCTTCTATTCCCCGATCTAGGTCCGCTGCAGTTTCAATATCCGATACCTCATCTTCACGAGTTTTAATACTCATAGCTTGTATCAGATCATCTTGTAATCGGTCAATGGGAACGTCATTCGGTAAAAACGATATCGGGTTCATTACGTCACTGTTTACCATTAGGCTGTTATGATAATACGAAATCACTACATCGGTATCGATCAGGTAATCTCTGCCTAACATCCCGTCTTCTTCAATAGGAAAATTATTCCATACTATGTGGAATTTTGCGGTTTTTCCATTAATCGTTAATATTGCCGTACATATGGTCGGGACGGTGTGTGCCGTAATACCGCTCAAGGTAGTGACTTCCCTTGGGTCAAACCTCGTGCTCCAATTTAATGCACTAAACTTAATCAAATTCACGGCCGATCCATTGTCAACCATGAACACGGTCCACTTTTTACAGGTCTCCGGTATACGAAACCTTACTCTGGTTGGCGCATAGATCTGATTATTTCCTGTGCCAAGTCCCCAATTCGAGGCAACTGCGATGACTGGTTCGTTAACGATTGCGGATTCTTTAGTATCGTCATTACTTTTGCCGGGGGTACTCCCGGTTTTTCGGACGTCGACACTTCCTGAACTTCGGTCAACATCGTCTTCGCATTCGGTTGAGCTTTCTCTTGGTTCTGACGGCACGTCTGACAAGGGCCCGTTCCATTCACCACTGGGCGAGCCCCATCTGAGTTTAAATTACTAGCAGAATTGGGTTGCTGATACTTTGGGTTAGGTCTAAGCTCGCCTCTTTGCTGCTGGTCGTAAGCTATCGTTCCATAGCGTTTTCCAGACGGATGATGATAAGAGTCTGTATCCGGGTTATATAGCCGTCCTGCGTGTGGTCCACTGTCCTGATAATTTTTGTAGCGAGGCTTCCAATTCCTATTTTGATTCGGTCTCTGCCCTTGGGATCGACTCTGTTGCTGTCCTTGATTCCTTTGTACAAATAATTGTTGGATTTCAGCGGGTAATTCGTCCCACTCATCCTCTAGCTGTTCCTCTTGGTCGTTTTGTTGATCTTGAACGTAGTTAACATTGAGGCTGCACAATAAATTCGTCCATTTATTAGGGTTCCACTCCCCATTCCTCGCTCTTGATTTATTTCTGGTTTCTATGCGTAGTGCTTCCTTATAGGCATCTTCCAGGGTTCTGGGCTGTTTAATATCTACTAAGTCCCCAATCTCCTTTGGCAATCCATCTATGAAAATCTTGACAGTCGAATTGCGCATCGGGGTCATCATTGTCTCGGTGTAGTCCCCTCCGAGCTCTTCTTTCAAGGCATTCTGTGCATAATTCAAAAGGATGTTTATCCTGTCATGAAAGTCCCCAACAGTGTCCCCTTGTTTCATACGCAGGCTATGGATTTTGGAGTCGTAGTAAGCGAAGTCCTTGCAAGGCGCGAATCGTTCCTTTAGAATCCTGATTAAGTCATCAACTGCCTTAATGGATTTTCCATAAATGCAGTCACGCGCAGGTCCTCGTAGCTTAGCAATTAACAAGCGGACAAAATTCTGTTCCTGCGGATCAGTAATCAACGCTCTTCCATTGCGGATATCCTGGATAAAGTCCTTAAGGGGCACATTTTTTCCATCGAACTCCGTAATCCCTTGTATTATATTCTGTAGGGTAAAACTTGCTGACATATTAGTTAATAGCTGGAGGGTCGCCGACTCCATTTCGTTATGGTCTAGGTCCTAGGTCCTATATTTTTCTTCCTTTTTTTTTTATTTATTTTATTTATTTTATTATTTAATCAATAATAAACGGATAAGGCTGATAATACAACTGTTATAATTTATTCAAATAATCATTGCATTAACAAAATACCAATTATAATTACTGATTAATTATAATTAGCAGTCAATGATTTATTCGAACAATAATCATTAACAAAATAACATTTATTGTCCTCGATCACCAACAACCCGTTATATAGATCTATAAGTTTCCACTCCAATAACCAATTTACACCACTCCATCAGTCGTCAAACAAATCACGTCAATAAAGCATTACTCCCAATAAATATACCATTCCTATGGCAATAAATACCTTTAGTAGCAAAGGTAATCGTAAAATAATTAAGGGAAATTTCAATAAGCGAACGGCACGGGACAATGCCAAGGATCAGTCCCCTATTACAGCAGAGAAAAAAAGAAATAAAATATTTCGCTGACCCGCATGTCAAAATCATAAACGACCGTCCATAAATCAAGGATATTTTCTAAGCCGCGTTTTCACTTTCAAACATTTCTAAGCGAAGGATCACGTTGCTAATGCCATTCTGCCAACTAGTCACGAAATGTGGGAACGGAAAAAAACGAAAGGAGACTCGCCCGGTTTCAGACGCGAACGCTCTGATTACGCTTACACGATTAAAACGAAACTCCGACGAATTGCATGTGAGAGAGGAAAAGAAGTTTTCTCGCGTCAGCGGCGTGGCTTTAGCTCGCTCAAAAACGAGCGTCCTGTTGCCCGTATTGCGTTTCAAGATATGAGAGAGAGGAAAGAGAGGAGAGAAAAAAAAATTTTAATATTACTAACGATGAAAAAGACGACGGATTAATCAATATGAATTAATATAAATTAATACGCGTCAATATACCAACACTATGCAATACATATAGTATTACATAATTATATATATCGCACACTAATGAATATATTCTAATAAACTATAATACATATATTCTAATTACATTAATACTCATGCTACCCAATACACAAATTTATATAGTAATTTAATAAACTATCAAAAATGTGTCAACGCGAGGGAAAAGCGAAAAATCTAAGCCCGCTAAAACCACGCTCTGCTACCAATTAATAGGTGACAACTCGCGCGAGGCGAGTTTGTCCCGTTGGAAGGCTCTTTTAACAGCCGAGCGGCCTTGGACTCGGGCGGTAGTCAGGCTTTCGGGCACCCCGGCCCGTTCGCGTTTCAATAATAAATTTACGTTAATTATAAGTTGACACTCAATATCGTTCTTGTAAAACAAATAATTAAACGTTTATAACGTTTTTTGGTTATTTGTTTTAAGCAAATTCGTAATGGCTACTCTCTCCGATATAGCGGGGAAGCATATGAATACACTTAAACTTGTTTTACAATCATAATATTTATTCTAATTTCTTTCGCAAGATAAGTAGGTTGAACAAAATAGTAGTAGCATATAAATTCGCAGACGCGTAATTTTTGTCTCGCGCTGTCTAGGATTTATCCCGTTACATAAAATTATAATAGTATTACTTACTATATACAATCAATGCAATTTGGTCCAAGTTATTATTTGGTTTGTGATATGGCCAATCACCTTTCCGTTTTATCTGGTCAAATTCAATCGGTCCAATGAGTTTTTACTATGGTGTAGTAATGTGCAGGACAATGATAGTCGCTATAACTGTATTTCTCTAGTATCCTCTTGATCCGACAATGTAACAACACGCAGGAAAATAATGATTCCCGTGATTTTCTATTTATACAAAATTATTAAAACAATCGTGCTTGATACTTCTAATACACTCAGACTTCTATTACAGTTTTAATTTCCGTAGAAAAATATGCGGCCTTCTTAATTGAGCGCTCGCTTCTAACTGACTGATTCCGCCTGCTCTGCCTTCGCTGGTTTATTATATAGCCTTTGTCCTAACCATGCCGTCTCTCTCCGAAGCGTATACGCTTCGGATGTTTTCGCTTCTCGTGGCGGGTCGTCTTACCTAGCTAAGCACGCGGACTGCAGCGTGCAGTCCCAGCATGCCGGCTCAGCGTGAATCAGCCTCCGCCGCACATTCCCACCAAGTCGCGCACATGAGTAGCGTCAGCTATACTATGTCCGAACGGAAATCTCGGGTCCGAAATATTATTAAGCAAAATACAATTATAATCCAATGAAGTGTCACGTAACAATGAGTAATTCTTAAAAATTTTTGTGAGCACTATTTAATTCATTATGATTATCTAACATTTTTTATAACCACTTTTATTATTCTTATTATTACTAATTTATCACAAGTATTTATTAATTATAAGTATTTATTAAAAACATGTACGCATAAATATTCAATAAATGTATAAACTGGTTTTTCGTCTTTTATTTTCTCCTAATTTTATTTAAAAGGATTTATATTTATAAAAATAGATTCAATATTATTAAAATGAATTCCAGTATATTGAAATATCAATATTCAAAATAATTAAAAATGATTCACCTTAATAGGTATTTAAGGTTTTTACAATTATTAAAAATGATTAATAATTGGTCTTTTTTTTTATTAAATGGTATTGAATATTATTTGATACGATAATTAAATAATATTCAATACCATTATCATGATTAAATGGTATTGAATATTATTTGAAAATAGTATCTAAATTCAAATAATTTTTAATCGTGAATATGTATACCAGAATATGCGATTAAAATAAATTTAACATTGCCACAATAATTATTCATTGAAATTTATTAAATATAATTAATTTTATAAGAAAATTTGAGATTAAAAGCTTTTAAATATTATTGAATTTAATAATGTTGAATCTTAATCAATTATGTCGATCAATTATATCGATAAAGTAAAATTCTTCATCCGCGGTTTATATTGGGTCATCAAGGCGTGTATGGAGGAGGCCGAAAATTTAGAATTAGCCACAACTAAAGCAATAGAAATTGAACGAGAATTCAACGTACAGGAATCTGAGGCAATAATCGAAACAGTAAAAGCGCTAACCCAACCTAAATTAGAGCCGGTTCGATTAATGAAAGCGGAGGATAGTAGCATCTGCCAAATTTGCAATAAGCCAAAACACACAGCTAAAGACTGTTGGTATTGGATACCGCAGAATCAAAATCGGACTCAGGCAACTATGCAACAGCAATGGCAGCAGCCCAAACAGCAGCCGTGGGCGGAGCCTCGCGCGGCAGCTAACAATAGCACTAGTCCCCGCTCCAACCAGCATTCACATTTGGCCGCCCAAAATCAAGTAAAAAAAAGCGCCCCAGCCAATTTAAATTCGCAAGAAAAATCGCAACAAACATATCCCTCGATTTGCAAATAGTGTAAAAAAGCGGGACACTGGAAGAGTGATTGCGAAAAACGAAAACTGAGAAATCGAAAATTGCAAAAAGCGGAAAAAGAAAAGGTTCCCAGACACATGGCGCTACCCGGGAACCTCTGTAAATACAGCGCCTGAAACTTCGTACGCACAAAAAGTCATCCTTTTGCATCTTAATAGTCAGTCACCTACAATACAGCTTGAAATATATACGAGGTGTGTTCAAAAAATAACGAGAATTTTCGTTTTATGAAAAAAATATTTATTTATTCATCTACATTAATGTTGTCGCCTTCAAAGTAGTCCCCTTCGGATACAATACACTTATGCCAACGCTTTTTCCAATCCTCGAAACACTTTTGAAACTTGATCTTTGTAATAGCTTTTAGCTCTTTCAGCGATTCGCTTTTAATGTCATCTATGCTTGTAAAACGACGGCCTTTTAATGTTCTCTTTATTTTTGGAAATAGAAAAAAGTCACATGGAGCCATATCTGGCGAATATGGAGGCTGAGGCATCATTACAGTTTCGTTTTTGGCCAAAAATTCACGAACAAACAATGAAGTGTGAGCAGGCGCATTATCGTGGTGCAAAAGCCATGAATTGTTTTGCCACAAATCCGGGCGTTTTTTTCGGATTGCTTCACGCAAACGACGTTGAACTTGTAGGTAGTACTGCTTATTGATTGTTTGACCTTGTGGCAAGAATTCATAATGCACTATGCCATTAAAATCGAAGAACACAGTGAGCATAACCTTCACATTCGACCGCACTTGTCGAGCCTTTTTCGGTCTTGGCGATCCAGAATGCCTCCACTGGGACGATTGAGCCTTAGTTTCGACATCATATCCGTAAACCCATGTTTCGTCACCTGTTATAACACGTTTTAGTAGTTCTGCATCGTTATTGACTTCATTTAGCGACTCCTGAGCAACTTCCATTCGCCGCTGTTTTTGTTCGAAATTCAACAATTTTGGAACGAATTTTGCTGCCACACGTTTCATACCCAAAACATTCGAAAAAATTTGATGGCATGAGCCAACTGATATGCCAACATCATCAGCGACTTCTCTGATTGTGATTCGGCGATCGTTCATAACCATTTCTTTCACTTTTTTCACGTTTTCATCGGTTGTTGATGTGCTTGGGCGTCCGGGTGGTTCGTCATCTTCAACGTTTTCGTGGCCATCTTGGAAACGCTTATACCACTCATAAATCCTTGCTTTACTCATAGCAGACTCACTATATGCCTTTGTTAACATTTGACAAACTTTACTACACTTTATTTCATTTTTTACGCAAAATTTAATACAAATTCTTTGATCCATTTTTTTTCACAAACGAAAATCGCCGAGCTCGAAAAACACGTCTAACGTTAGCGGCTGCCACTTAAAAAGTAAGCAATGAATATTGCTGAAAATTTTATCGTACTTCAGGGGCATGTGTACCAACATAATAAAAAAAAATTTTATACAAGCGGACTCTCCAAACCCGCGAAATTTAAAAATTCTCGTTACTTTTTGAACACACCTCGTACAACTAAACAAAAATTTAGCTTCATCGTAGACACCGGGGCAGCAGTCTCACCACTAAAAATTTCAAGCAAACCAGACAATGTCCACATAAATATTCTAGATAGATACGAACTACGAGGGATCTCGCAAGAAAGTATCGCGACATTAGGAAAAATTTCATTAACCTTTCATAACTTTGTACTAGATTTTTACCTAGAACCAGAAAATTTTCCTATATTAGAAGACGGTGTAATAGGAAGCGAGTCATTAAGAAAGTACAGATCGAATATTGATTACGCCAGGAATCTCTTAAAAATAAACGACTTGTTTTTCCCAATTCTCACCGAAAATAAATTCTGTTACATTGGAGCTATTTTCGTAGCAAAAAATTAACCAGGCACCCAGCAAGATACCTCTTGCAAACAGCCTAGCAATAACTCATCGTATTCGGTCGACGGCCCTAGCAGAAAATTGCTAGACCTAGCGGTCGAAACCCGGAGGACGAACGCGCCTAATACGAAACTCATGTAAAAAAATGGTCACGATGCTATAAAATACAATGACACACTGACTCCTAAAGAGAATATACCTCAGTGTCTGAAGACAAAATCCGAGAAACACAAAAAAAAAAAAGAGTCCGACAATCTATACAACCTGTCTGTTAACGACTTTTCCGAGAACTCCAAAAAAATTAACTCTGTATCTGTAACTTCTGGTATGCGCATGCAAACTCTAGAAAACGAATCCGATTTACTCTACGCTTTAACCAAAGCATCAGAAATGATTAAAAAATCAGAAAAATCAGAATCAGATTATCCGCTAATACAAGAATTAACTAACAGTATTATTAGTTGTTTAAACAATAAAGAATCTGAAATTAATAGCGATAGCGTATACTTGCTCGAAATACTAAATAGATACCTCGATCCAATTAATAAATCACAAAGTAACTTACAAAAATCAAATATAGTTAGTAATGCATTAAATGCATTATTAACAGCTCGCTCGATTATTAGGGAAAAAGTACCTAGAGCGCGCCACAAAACACTACTTATTAACCCAGAAATTAATAATCGTGACGAAAGAGTCAAACAGTTACTTCAATTGATTAAATTGGACCATATCAAACAAGATCAACGGACAAAATTTGAAGAAATCGTCGAAAATTACAGAGACACTTTTTGTTAATGGCGACAAGCTCGGAGCCACGAGTATTATCGAGCACGAGATCTATACTACCTCCGAATTACCAATCAGACTCCGACAGTTTAGGCAGCCCTCGCAGATTAGTAAATTTATAAATGAACAAATGCAGAAATTATTAAAAAGAGGGATTATCGAAAGATTAACTAGCGCATACTGCGCACCAGTCTTTTGCGTGCCTAAAAAGAATACGGCGAACCGCAACCGCCGCGCATCATATTTGACTATCACGCGCTAAATAAAGTTAAACCGGATAATAATTTCCCAGTCCCTCTATCTGTCGACTTATTTGAACGGGTGGCCGGTGCGCAGATATTCTCATAATTCGATATGTATTCATCATATCATCAAATAAGCATTAAAAAAGAACACAAGCATAAAACGGCATTCCAATGCGAGTCAGGCCTATATCAGTTTTGTCGCTCTTCCTTTGGACTGAAAACTAGCCCACCAGTTTTTCTGTCACTAATAAATATGCTAGTATCAGACTTAAAAAATGTTGCAGCATTTTTCGATGATATTTGCGTATATTCTAAAACATTCGACGAACACTGCGAGAGTACCATCGAATTAATGAAACGCCTTCGTAAAACTAATCTAGTCCGTCATCCAAAGAAATGCAAAATTCTACGCCCGGAAATTGAGTATCTCGAAAGACGGACTACGCCCGTGCAACGACAAGCTGCGTGCAATAAAAGAATTTCCGGTCCCGCGCACACCAAAGAATGTTAAACAATGGCTCGGCCTGGTGGGATACTAAAGACGATTCATAGAAAAGTTTGCTAAAATCGCTAAACCGTTTACTATTCTATTAAAGAAACGCCAGCCGTTCGTTTAGGAGGAAGAGCAGCAAAGAGCTTTCGAGACACTCTGTGATAAATTATGCGAACCTCCGGTGCTCAGACACCGGGATTTCGACAGGCCATTTTTTCTTACCACTGACGCATCCAAAATCGGAATCGTAGGGTCGCTTTCTCAATTTGATGACGAAGAGCGAGAACACGCTGTATCATACATCACACATACCCTCATACCTGCTGAAAATTATCCTGCTACTCGACTCGAACTATTAGCAATAGTATAGAGTATTTCACAATTCAGACCATATCTGTACGGCCGAAAATTCATCATCATTACTGACCATAGACCATTGGTACACCTATACTTGATAGGCGATCCAAATTGCGCAGGAAACTCATCAGCGATTGCTGTTACAAAATTTTAATTTCGAAGTCAGATATAAAAAAGGCGCGTCGAATGTCAATGTAGACGCACTCTCTCGAATAGCTCAATAAGCATTTGCAAGCATCTAGACAAGATCCAGTTCAAACACTGGTCTTGACAGCTCAGCTAGCAAATGTCAATGATGGCACCGTAAGGTTAGGAAATATGCACGCCATGACCACGCGATGCACAAGGGGCCAACAACCAAATGCAAAATATCTGGAAGCCATCAAGTCCCTCCTGCCGCGTCAGAGAAAAAATCCGCCTCCTCAGGAAGTGGACACGCCAGTAACAGAACCAGACACGCATCCCGAATAACACAGAAATTTATAGTAAACTGCAATAAAGTCTTATTGCCGCGCGCTGAAAATAAACTCACGCCCGTTTTCACTAATTACCATAGGTCCCAGCTACCCTTTCTCTCAGACATCGTGGGAGGGACTTTCCCTTTCCCTTATGATTTTCTCCGAGAGGAAGCTTCCTCGCTGGGGGTTGATCTAACGATCGACACTCTCGTTCAAACTTGCGAACGGTTAATAGCTTGGCTATCTGACAGGTGCGCTGTTGTATTTTGCAACTTTTTTAAAATTTACATACATACGTATATACGAGTATACCTATATTTATTTGCGTACGCAGTGATTGCTTTTCTTGGAGTGAATATTTGAGAGGTGAGTGTTTAATATTTTTAGCTTATATATCAATGTATTTATTTAATTTGAGAGAATCACAAATTATTTTTCATTCAACATTATATTAAAAATCCGTTCAATTCTTATATACTTTCAAATCATGAAGTTTTTTTTAGATTATATAATATTCATAATATTTTTCATTTGTTTAAACATGTACACTAATTTTTTTCAGATTGCCATGCCTAAGGCTTTGACATCTTTGCAAATTACTGAGATCAAGCAGAAATTGTTTCAAAAGGAGACAATGGCGAAACTCTCCAAGGAGTACGGCGTATCACCGAAAACTATCAAGAGAGCGAGTGAAAACGATGAGAACGCGTCGCCAAACCGTCAATCTCAAGGCGTACGAAAGTTGCAAGTTAATTTGACGATCCAGCAGAAGATGGAAATTATTAGCAAGCGGCAGAAAGGACAATGTACACAAGATTTGGCTAAGTAGTACAAGGTGGATGTTTCGACGATTAGGATTATTGCAAACCAAACGATCATAAGGAAGCGGGCTGTGGCTTTGGAGCAAGAGAAGCGAAGTTTGGACTGCAAAAGGATTCACGCGAAAGAAAATGTGCGCGACAGAGCGTTGTTTTTGTGGTTCAAAAAGAAATGCGCTGCAGGAATTCCAGTGTCTGGCGAAAAGATGAAGGAAGAATCTTTGAGGCTCAACAAAGAAAAGGGTTTGTCGCCTGATTTTAAAGCGAACAATGGATGGCTGAAGAATTTCAAGAAAGGTTACAACATCCGTGAATTGGCGACACAGGGAGAGAAATTGTCTGCTGATACTGCTGGAGCAGATAATTTCAAGAATACGCTAACATCTTATCTTGAAGAAGAAGGCTACGACTTGAATCAAGTTTACAATGCCGATGAAACGGCTTTGTATTACAAGTCGCTGCCGAAAAGAACCTTAGCAGCCGGAGATGAGAGGCAAGCGTCGGGCTTCAAAGAAATAAAGGAAAGAGTAACTGTCATGTGCTGTGCCATTTGTCAACATCGCCACGTATGCCGATGATACAGCAATCTTAATATCACATGCCAATGAAACTACGGCTACTCGTATTATGCAGCAATACCTGGATACAGCACTTAACTGGTTTAATAAATGGAGGATAATGATCAACGAAACGAAATCAATACAAGTTACTTATACTCAAAAAAGAAACCGGTAAACATAGATAATAAAACAATTCCACAAGGAGACAAAGCAAAATATCTCTGAATGCACTTGGATCGACGACTAACGCGGAGAGATCATATACTAAACGGAAACAACTAAATCTACAGACAAGAAAATATTACTGGCTGCTAGGGAGGTATTCTAAGCTTTCAATTAAAAACAAATTAATGATTTACAAATCCATAATTAAACCAGTTTGGACATATGGCATAGAACTCTGGGGTACAGCCACAAAATCCAACATTGATATCATCGAAAGATTCCAGAACAAAACATTAAGAAATATCATAAACGCACCATATTTTGTAACAAATGAATATATACGAAAAGATATCAACATAATGACAGTAAAAAAAGAAATAGAAGCAGCCTCTAGCAGATATACCACCCGGATTACAGAGCATCCAAATCAACTAGCCAAGGAACTAATCGTCTCAACACCAACAACTTCAAGGTTCAAAAAATATAAAACACCATTTACACAAAAATGGGGTTAGTTTGTTTTAATTAATATATTAATGTATTAATGTACTGGTACTGATCACTGGAGAAGTACCCTCATGTAATCATGCAAGTAAAATTGTAATTGTTGTAGATTTAATAATACCATTTACTTATTGTTCATGGACAGATTGTAAATTTACTTTGGAAATAATAAAAAAAAAATATGCTGTGCCAATGCATCAGGATCCCATAAGATTACTCCCTTAGTTATCGGTAAATTCGCAAATCCTAGGTTTTTCTCAAAAGGCGAGAAAGAGAAGTTGCCTGTGTCATACACTAACAGTAAATCTGCTTGGATGAATACAAACCTATTTCTTGATTGGTTCAAGAATGTAGTCGTTAAAGAAGTTTGTGAAAAATATCCCGAGCAGAAGAAGGTTTTACTTCTACTGGACAATGCTCCATGTCACTCGTCAATCGAAGAGCACAACCAAATCGATGAACCGATTCGAGTGATGTTTCTGCCGCCCAATGCCACGTCATTGATCCAGCCGATGGACCAGGGGGTCATCGCAAAACTGAAGAAAATGTTCCGAAATAAGCTAGTAAAAGAGCTCATGTTGCAAAAAGAAAGTCGCTGCATCGTTGATATTGTCAAAAAGCAGACTATAAAAGACTGTTGCTACAAACTAGCCTCATCTTGGGACGATGTCACTCCAAAAGATATCCGTAACGCTTGGAATCGGCTCTTGGGAAAGGATGAGTCTTTGTGTGAACAAAATGTGTCTACAGCAGAGGTTAACTTGTTATTAGCGCTTCTCAAAGATTCTCCAGACTTTGTCGACTGTAATTTTGCAATGGCTGCAGCCTGGATTGAGGAGGATTTTCGCGATAATGCTTGGGAACAGTGCGATGTAGTTGAGATTTATGATAGGTATGCATTATTTATATATAACATATATATATTTTGAAATTACTAATTATTGTCATACTAATATATTTATTAATCATTTCAGACTGATATCTCCAAGTAATAGTTTTGAAGAGAATTCCCACGAATGAGTAGAATTTGAGAGAGATGACGACCATGACGAGGTACAAGAGGATGAAGTTACACTTGAAGAAGCTTACAAAGCTGCACTCAAAGTGAGATCATACTTGGAAAAAACTTGGGATGCATCAAAGCAACAAATTAGCAACATTCAAGATATTTCGGATTTGCTTCTTAATATATATAATCCAATCTAAAATTGTGTGTATTACTATTCACAGAAAAAAAATTACTTGAAACAAGCACACTTTTGTGCTTAAAACCCCATGCAATGAAAACCGGTACTGATGACTGCTTAAAATTAACCGAATTCATGATTGAAATGAGTAATTTTTTATTTATTTTTAGTAATAATGTTTTTATTTTGAGTAAATTATTTTAAAAAGTTTACTTGGCTATAATGTTTTTGAAAGTTATTTTAAGTTTGTAGAATTTAAAATATATGTTAGCACGCAACAATAATAAGTAATTTTTTTACTGTGTTTGATTCTCTTTTTGTAATTAATTTTTTGTATCCATTTTGTAAAATATATAACCTTTCGTTTGAATTTTGCAACGTATAATTAAATAAAATTTAACAGTAATTACAACGAATTTCTTTTTATTTATTTTAATAAAAACGCTTTGTTTTTAATTACGACCGAAATTGAAGTAATAATCATAACATTTGAGAAAAAATTATTTGAAATCACTTTTAATTTGGTTCTTATTTGTAACGAAAATATTTTTTATGTAAAATTGTGCACCGTAAATATGTAATATTTATAAAATCCTTTTAGAATTTAGATTTGGAAAAATACAAGTTTCCTATTTTTGTCTATAGGGCAATTCTTGGCTATTTCAAACAGTTTAAAACTTCAAATCACTAATTTTGTTCAAAGTTGGTAGACTTGTTACCTATACAGAGGTCAACATCTGTGCAGAGTTTTAGATCAAAATATTGATAAGGGGCCGACTTGTCAACTGTTGAAAAAATATTGGACTTTTTTTTATTAATTCGGTTTCTCGGAGACTAACAAAGATATGGACATGATTCTTTTTTTAAAAGACGCGGAAAGAGTTTCACTTTTAAAATGTAAATAATAAAATACCAAATTATTTATTTATGCCATTGTTATAAACAATTTTTTCAAAAAATCGACGATATCTCAAACAAAGATATTTTTTTTTTAATTTTTGTACCATCGTGTTCCTTGTCATTTTTTACATAAGAAACCGTTGAAAATATCGAGTGCCCGCTATTAGGATTGAGATAGCACTAAAATGAAACGAACCGAGCGCTAGCCGCTCGGCCGCTCGGCCGTCTGCTACTCGTGCGGTTCCAACGTTGCTTGCTGCAATTGCCTTCTTTAAAGAATAAATAATTTCATATTCTAACAGTCTATATCTATTTATTTAAATAATATATAAATGTATTAATTAAGTAAGTAATGTAAATGAACTATTTTTTTATACAATCTGATGTAATATTTAAATTAAACATTTGCTCTCTGCGTTTGAGCGGGCTTGAGACCGACGCATATTGAGGATGCGGCCGCATTAAAAATGTTTTTTTATCGGACCTACACCATAATACTCTTAATAAGTTATTTACAAATAATTTTACAAAAAAAAAACCCTTTAAATTATGCGTCTTATTTCAAATTCAGAAGAGTATGAAGTTTTTTTTCTTTAATTTCCGTTGTATACAAAAATAAGTTGCATCAAAAATACATTTCAAAATACTGTAAAAAAAATTATTTATGTTAGTGACGGTGCCGGAAGCCAATATAAAAATAGAATGAATTTTCTAAACTTAGTTCGACATTACAGCATTTATTCTATTAGAGCAGAGTGGCATTTTTTTGCAAGTTGTCATGGTAAAAGTTCGTGTGATGGAATTGGTGGAGGTATAAAAAGATTAGCTCGACGAGAAAGCTTGCTCGGTAAAATCATAAATAATTCTGCAGAATTTTACAAATGGGCGAAACAAGCTATGCCTAAAATAACGTTTATTTACTGTAGTCAAGAAGAATATGAAGTTGTACTATGATGAGTAACACTTTGAAATTCAAAGTTCATTTTATATCTCTGAATTTTCAGGTTGTTTTGAATAGTAAATATTTTATAAATTGACATTACTATGACTTAAATTTTCTATAATTGTGAGTACGAATGATTTTGTTATTATTGTTTGATGTGTACTGTTGTGTTATGATCATGTCGATTGTTTAAAAAAGTTTTTAATTGTTTATAAGTTTTAATAAAGTTTTCCTGAAGAGGCCATGAATTTATAGCGAAACGTTGGAATTTCAAGATTGTTGTTTTAATTACATGAGGGATTTTCCTTAACCATTGTTGTATATGAGATAAGTGAAATTTTTGAAAGTACCATGTATAGTCAATTAAAAGATGCTCTTACTATACAAGGAACACAATTACTGCATGCATTCATGCTAGTTAGTGATGACAATACAACGGAAATTAAAGTAAGAAAAACTTCATACTCTTCTGAATTTGAAATAAGACGCATAATTTGAAGGGTTTTTTTTGTAAAATTACTTGTAAATAACTTATTAAGAGTATTATGGTGTAGGTCAGATAAAAAAACATTTTTAATGCGGCCGCATCCTCAATATGCGTCGGTCTCAAGCCCGCTCAAACGCAGAGAGCAAATGTTTAATTTAAATATTACATCAGATTGTATAAAAAAATCGTTCATTTACATTACTTACTTAATTAATACATTTATATATTATTTAAATAAATAGATATAGACTGTTAGAATATGAAATTATTTATTCTTTAAAGAAGGCAATTGCAGCAAGCAACGTTGGAACCGCACGAGTAGCAGACGGCCGAGCGGCCGAGCGGCTAGCGCTCGGTTCGTTTCATTTTACTCGATTTTCTCAACGGTTTCTTATGTAAAAAATGACAAGGAACACGATGGTACAAAAATTAAAAAAAAAATATCTTTGTTTGAGATATCGTCGATTTTTTGAAAAAATTGTTTATAACAATGGCATAAATAAATAATTTGGTATTTTATTATTTACATTTTAAAAGTGAAACTCTTTCCGCGTCTTTTAAAAAAAGAATCATGTCCATATCTTTGTTAGTCTCCGAGAAACCGAATTAATAAAAAAAAGTCCAACATTTTTTCAACAGTTGACAAGTCGGCCCCTTATCAATATTTTGATCTAAAACTCTGCACAGATGTTGACCTCTGTATAGGTAACAAGTCTACCAACTTTGAACAAAATTGGTGATGTGAAGTTTTAAACTGTTTGAAATAGCCAAGAATTGCCCTATACAGGGTGTCCAAAAAGTTCCGGGACACCCCAGTAAGTCCTGAGATATAACTATTTCCGAGGAGATTAAGGTCATTCCTGTAGTAACTTTGAACGAGGAATCCAGTGGTGACCTTGGTTTTGACCTTGAGCTTGACCTTCAAGGTCATTTCAAGGTCAACTTTTTTTTCAAATGGGAACCCCTATTTTTGACAACGGCAATCGAAAGAGCGTGAAGTTTTACGTCCAAACATGTACAAAGGTCATAGGTCAAAGATGAGCTTCAAGTTCATTTCAAGGTTATTTAAACTTCACGACGGTCTGAAGTTGTGTAAGGTTTTTATTATTTTGGAGGAGATTCTTTAGTAACTTTTCACTAGGAATCCAATTGTCATCTTGGATTTAACCTTAAGGGTCATGTTAAGGTCAATTTTTTTACATTTTGCGTTACCCAGGAACAACGACGTGGACGTAGTAAAATCTGTTCCTATTGGGGTTCTTGATTAGAGTGAGTCCCCTTGCCTCTTAATTTTTGGGGTGCTTGATTAGAGTGAGTTCCCTTGCCTCTCACGACCAGTTAAGCTACAGAATGCACAAATTTTTATCGCAAATGTTCAAAATGATGTCCACCCACTTCTCGACAATGAGCCAAACGATGGTAAAAACCATTAACCGCATTTTGGATTATTTCGGTAGGAATTAGAGCACATTCATCAATTATTCTCTGTTGCAATTCTTCTAAATTTTAAGGTTTGGTTTTGTACACTCGATCTTTGAGATAACCCCACAGAAAATAGTCTAGGGGTGTTAGGTCAGGTGATCTGGCTGGCCATTCAATGTGCCTCTACGTTCTATCCACCGATCAACAAACACGTCATCTAAATAAGCGCGAACGTCTCGTCCGAAGTGAGGTGGACCACCATTTTGTTGAAACCATGTTTCATCAAAGTTTCTTCCAGAAATCTCTCTTATTGCAGGAACTATTTGGTTTCGTAGCATAGTTTCGTAAGAGGCAGCAGTCAAATTACCCTCAATAAACAATGGCCCTACTATTCTATTATTAAAAATTCCGGCCCTAACATTCAACTTTTGTGGATACTGCGATTTATCCTCTCGGGCCCAATAAGGGTTAGCATCTGCCCAATACCTTCAATTATGCCTATTAAGAGTTCCGTCCAGTTGAAATGTTGCTTCATCTGAAAAGACTATATTAGATGGGAATTCGGGATTTTCATCTATGCGTAACATCATATCTTCGCAAAACTCATCGCGACGATCGAAGTCATCCTCGTTCAACTTGTGAATAAGTTGTACTTTGAACGGATGAAAATTTGCACTCCGAAGAATGTTATGCACAAATGACTTACTCGTACCATGCTCTTGAGAAACCCTTCGAATGGAAGTTTGCGGATCTTCGGTAAATGATAACAAAACATCCAATGAGTTTTCCTCATTCGTCGCTGTTTTTGGTCTCCCTGATTTAGGTATATCTCTTACATTGCCTGTTTGATTAAACCATGGAACAGTTCGATCAACGGTTGATGATGAAATTCGAACAGCATTTTGCCCACCTCTAAATGTTTCGTTAAAAAGATGTTGTACTTCCCTGTACGACCGAATTACCGCACCCCAGCCTCGCATCATAAGAAGCGATATTCTTTCCCTTTCATTTAGTCTGTTTATTTTTGGTTTAATTTATACAATTTAAAAAAATTTTTCTAATTTGAAATTTAGATATGAAA